TCTTCCATTTGAATTCATGCCAAATATATTTAATATGTATTTATAACATAAATTATTTTAATCATTATCATCATCTTTTATTGTTATCATTTCATTAGCTATTCATTTTAGTCCCGTTTTCCATTCTTTTGCGCTTGTATTCTGGGCAGGCTTTGTCCAGTCTTAGCAGTCGCTCACGAAACTCATGCATTCGCTTAAGGCTCCGCTCAGGTGGACGTGACCTGGCGTAGTTCTTGTTGCTGCTGTAATTGTCTGTGTTGTTGTCCTGTTGGCTGAGCTGACGACGCTGGGCACTCGTATATGCTGTGAGTCCGCGAGTTAGATCTTCGCTTGATTCGCTTTTCCCTCGCTCTGTCAGTGCCCCTCTCTGATCCAGTTGCAGCAGACGCTGATGCAACTCACGTGTGCGTTGGCTGCTCGATATCACGGGCTTTTGTCGAGGCAGTTCCTTTGGGCGTTCCAAATTCATAAGACGCTGGCGCAGATTGCGCATTTGCTGGGCACGTGGCAGGGATGGAGAGGAAGAGTGTCGCCCGGACAGCTTGGCTTTATTAACTTGAGCGCTTGCCATGTCCACCTTCATCAATCGTTCACGCAGTTCGTTCACAATTGAACGACGATTATTTGATTTGGTTTCGGTGGAGTCTGCGGCTGCGGCAGGAATGCTTCGATAGGACTCCAAATAGTTTTCACCTCTCACTAAAATAGTTCATTTATTTTATAGAGATATACCAAGTGGAAATAAATATGTTTACAACTGTTTATCGTCTGCTGTGTTTCGTCGCATTCCTGTTTTATTTCCGTATTCAGAGGCTCTTCTATTTTAATAGGTCCTATGTCTATTTCAAATTCTGGTACTTCATAATCATCGGGATATTCCTTTTTAATGCAGTTTATATCCATATATTGCTGCATTTTAAATAAAATGGTATCTCTCTTAGCATACTGCAAAAAAACAAGTTTTTTCTTGTTTATTGTTTATTCCAGCTGTTTTTAGAGATGATACGCAAGCACGTAAGTAATTTATTCGTTACCTATCGCTATGCGTAAATTCATGCCAATTATATCGATTATTGAATGGCGCAAAAATTTAAATCTTACAAAAATATCCGAAACGCAGAAAATATTTTAAGTTCAGTAAAAAAATAAGCTATTTTGAGACGTAACTTATAAAAAATATGACGATAGATAAGAGCAGTTAGTGATTTATTTACGTTTATTTATATTGGAATTCTGACCAAAGATCATATTGCCTATGACGTCACAAACTTTCCAAGACAACTATCGAATTACCATTCATTCTCCGCGCACAAATCGATAGTCTGCGATTGTTTTGAGCCTCAACAGCGATCGCTAACTGTTTACAGTTTCAAATGTTCGCGTGTGAAATTTTTCGTGTTTTGCGTTCAGTTATTTGAAATGATAAAATGCGAATATAAATTGCTGAATAAGTGAATAAGTTGGTCAAAAAAGCAGAAGCTGATATTCGTGCGCCTAAATTTGTATTTATACGTATTTTGTGTTGTTCATCTTAGCTGCTGTAGTGAAAATTGAGTTTTTATAAGTAACGGCATATTTTGTTCATTTTTTTTCCAGTGAAGAAAAATACATGCATGCAATATGTACGCATGTTATTATGTGGTACTTTATTATTATTAATAAATTTAAATAATGCAAACATATTGCAAATCTTCTTGAAATGTTTACTGTGCTTGGGTTAACGCGTTTGTGTTAGTGTTTGGATTAATAAGAAAGAGAAAATGCAAATGTGTGAGTGCTTTAGAAATGTGGGAGTAAAAGAGACAAAAGTGTGTGCAAAAAGTGCGATGAGAGAGTTCCGTATGTAAGGAAGTTTTATTGGAAGTAGCTATTTAATGAATTGGAATATTAAATAACAAGGTAAAGTGAAAATTTCTTGCGCAATTTAAAATTTGTTTATTTTGCTTTCATTTTAATTGCCCTAAATATTTTAGTTATTACCACGATCAAAATATATGTATATATAAATATATATGTATATTATATAAAAAGAAAAACATGTTGAATTGTTGTATAATTTATTTTATTTTGACGTTTTACATAAAGTCAGCTAAAGCTAGGTAAATCTTATAATTGTAGTAATAGGGGGACTAGAAGATTATGCTTCCACAATTAATATCACGTGATATTCTAAAAAAATTATCAATTGATAGTCATTAACACAATTCTATATACAAATTGACATCAGGATAAAAAAAAAATAAATGTATATTTGCCTTGAAATTTAATAATTCATTCTCACAGTCTGAACACAATAACAATTTAAAGTAATTTAAAATACAAAAAATTAAACAATTTCTCTTGAGTAAAAATATTGTACAAATCATATAATTATAATGTGTTCCATGACATTTTTTATTACTAGTTGATGCTCGTAAAATTTAGAATATATTATTTTTCATCTAGTCCTCCCACATACCAATAGAGTTGATGTTCTAGACAATGTTTTTGATTCGATAAAGCTGGACAATGTAGCACACTAAAACTACTAGAAAGTTGTAATTATATTTTTAATTAAACTACATATTTAAACTAATTATAATTATTTCCATTGCATGTATATTTATTTTTCACTACAATAATTCGCTGGCATGTTTTAGCCAAGCGCTAGAAAGTCGCTGCATTTAAGGTCTACAAATGATATACATATATTTTACATAGTTTCTTAAATATATTATTATTATTATTAATTTATTATTTTCGGGATATTTCCTTTATTCAAGTATCATATGTTGACTAATTTGATAATTTGATTTCACTTAAACATTAGTCTACATATTGGGCTATTGGTAATGCATATTTATGTCGTACCATCTCTCACATTAAATACATATACATACATATATTATATATTCCGTATTTAGACCTTTAACCGCTATACGCGCGTGGGTGTTCCAAAGATGGGGACGTTGTTGCGTCGCTGGGCCAGCGGGGAGGCGGGCACTGGTGTCGGTCCGTTATTGTTGTTGTTCAGTCGACGTTGTTGGCTATCCGAATGGGCACGCTCTACAAGAATTGATATTCTATCTATCAGATACATTTCTCTATATGCAGATACATCGATATATACATATATCATGGGCAACTGATTTGGGACATGCTTGTTTGGGTATTTCGGTTCTGTGTATAGGATCGCTGCATGCAATTTGTTTTGTTCGTTCAATCAATTATTTACCACATATTTTCCGTTTCTTCTGAAATTTGTTAACATGCAATTGAAAATAAAAAAAAATATATATATGTATAAATATATTTAATATTTACAATTAAATATATTAGGAAATTATAGTGTGTCGCGTGCGGATGTTAAGGGGTTAGTAAATGGTTCTAAATATAATAATAATAATAATTTGGTAAAATTAGTATTTTATATATAAAATTTTATTTTTTTGTTTGCTTGTTTTTTTTTTTTTTTTTTTTTTTTTTTTAAATATTCAATCAAATCATAAATATTGTACCCAATAGGTAAAATATCGAATTAAAATATTTTTGATTTTAATGGCTCTAAATATAAAAATAATAATTATTCAATAATTACACAATATTATATACATATATGTATGTATATATTATATATGCAAAATATTATATTATATATAGTAATATTCCACCTAAACAATTAATTAATTAATTATTTATATTGGGTATTCCTATTATTTTTGTTTCCAATACAAAAAATGTGTGTTTTTTTTTTTTTTTTTAAATATGGAGCGTAGTAAAATTTAAAAATAACAGTAATAGAATGTAATAATAAAAAATACTATTACTACAAAAAATTTTCATTCTTTTATAAATATAAATAATAATTAAAGTGTTTTTTATTTTATTTTATTTTTGAAATTTATAATTTATAATAATAATAATAATATGGCAATTAATACACATTCTTCTAAAAATGTTCTGTTATTTAAATTTATTATTGTTGTTTAAAATTAGTAAAGTCCCTACCCCAATTTAAACGTGCATATGTGTGGATAGATATTTACCTCGAAACTTGAGGCCCTGGGCCTCGTTGATGATGGCCGCTAGAGCTGGATGCTGATAACGCTCCCGGAATATGGCCGATCCGTTCATGGCGGAGCCGGCGTTGCCGTTGAGCGTGCCGCTGTTGCCGTTGCCATTGCCATTGCTGTGATGATGATGCATCATCTTGTGCTGTGGCGTATGCTGGGGCGTCAGCGAAATGGGGGGCGTGCCATTGCCATTCTTATAGTAGCGATTCTGATTGGGGTCATAGGTGCCATTGGTGTTAGTATTGGTGTTCTGCTCGTGATTATGATTAAGACGATTGGCCAACTTAATGGACGCACAGCGCTCCTCCTCATTGTTGCGCATCTTCAGTATGCGCTGATCCTGCACTGAGTAGCGTGAGCCGTGCAACGCATTCAACTGATTCAGATTGTTCACCTGGGCGCTCAGCTTCTTGGCACGAAAACTGCCGCCGGGCGAATTGTTGAGCAGCGTGCCACGTGATGAGCTGCCATTGGTTTCGGTGCTGTCGCGACTCGCGCCCTCGCGATAGCTGGAGGGGCGGTGCGTCGATGGAGGCGTGTCGAGGCCACTATCATGGGCCGAGCAGTCCAGCTCCTGTTTATTGTTGGCCAGGCCAGCAGTGCTGCCGCCATTCGCATTGTGTGTGGGCAGCATGGGTTGAACTAGAACGGAGATAGAGAGAGAGAGAGAGAGAGAGAGAGGGAGTTTAAGTTTCAGTTATACAAGGTGGAATTTTGTTGAGCTCACCTGAATGACGCATATCGGTGGGCGCACGAGGTTTGCGATAGAGCCAATCTCTGTCCAGTTCATTGCCATTGTCCGGCTGGGCGCTGATGCCGCGGAATAGTCTGGGGCGACGCAGCTGCACCTCAGCCTCCTCGGCGGTCTCCTCGTCGACCACCTGATTGGAACCGAAGCTGCTATTGATGAAAATCCGTCGAGGCGAGCCATACAAGACGCCACCAGCCTGGGTGAAGCTGTTCTGCGCCGAGGCATAGCCATTCGAGTAGCGACTGAGATTTGCATTGCTGTGATGCGGTATCTTTTGCGGTGTGGAGTGATTCGTTGAGATGCCGCTCAAATGATGATTATGATTCTCATTGTTGAGGGCACTCAGATCGGGCACCGAATCGCTGAACAGAAATGGATTCGCACCCGCATAGCCATTCAGGCTGCCAGCGCCGATTTTATGACGCGCCAGGCCGCCGCCGCCGCCGCCGCCGCTCGCCGAGCCATTCGTCATCAGCCAATCGTCCAGGGCGCTGGAATAGGTGCTGCCCAGGCCAAAGTGCTGGAACTGCAGCGAAGCATGCGAGACGGGCGCGGCCAGAGAGGCGCGCGATCTGGGACCCTGGGCGATCTTTAGCGCGCGACGACGCTCCTTGGAGGTCAGCGTGCATTCCTGTGTTTGGGGAATCATTCAATTCTATTTAGTACAAATTCACTTTGGGCCAATTGATGCAAAGACTTACTTCCAGCAGCTCGAACCAATCCTCGAGGCCATCGTCGCAGCGCAAGAGCACCCGACCCTCGCGACCCAACAGCAGCCCAATGGCGCTATACGAGCGTCTATTGAGCCACTCCACCTTCTCCACGTCGACCAGCTTGACCTGAAATGATTCAAGAAAACAATAATAAGTCCACGGTCTACTACATCATTGTTACACTGCAATACAATGGGAATAAAAGTCAAAGGTTAGGCAATGATCGCTGGACGGACTGACTCTGACTCTCTGGGCCACGCAGCAGGGGTCTGGGAATTGGACTGCAGCTCAACTAAAGACCTGCACGTTTCTTAAGATTGTGATGAATGGAGACATGAACATCCAAAAGAATTAAAGTAGTTGCGTGAGTGAAAAGGGCAAAGGGAAAAAGATTATGGATTAGAGAAGAACTCAAAAGCTTGAGAAATTTTTAATAATAATTT